GATACGAAATTAATCCGTTCCGAAACTGAGATCGTATCATGAAAATGTCGTAAGGTGGATCATCTTTTCCCATACGATTACATGTAAAACCAAATAATTCGTTCCAACGCGAAAAACATACTCAAATTAAAGCCAAGTAATACATTAAAAAAATAACTGTAGTAAGAAAAACAAATGAAAAATGCGAACTAATGTAACGTCGTATGGTGAGTTTTTGTTCGTATCGTGGAGCAAAAATATGTTCGAATTTCATGTCGTATCCTGAAAATTTCGTATGCTGGAGCGTTCGTAACCTGAGGTACCACTGTATTATGTAAACCTCATAATAAAAAATTTGACAAATTTCTCTTTGAATTAATATTTTATTTGTTAATTAACGTTTATAACAAAATATTGCTTAAAACTGCATTTAAGAAACCAAAGTAATAAAAATAGTTGATTTAGAAAAAATTTATTTATATTTTCAACGACAGATGGCGATACTAACCGAATTCATAATTTTATGTATTTAAAGTCTTTAATGTATAAACAAAATCTTTAAATTATTATTATTATTAATATACATAAAATTTTAAACATTAATTTATTATTTTAAAAAATTAAATAAATTATATAATAAATTATATAAAAATATTAAAACGGTATGGCGATGTTTGTAAGCTGTGAGTTCATTAAGGTTCTTTCTATTTTTCAGGTATAAATGGCTGTTTGGCAATCTCAAATTCAAGGACTATGCGAGAGCGTTGAATATCTCATGCGACAAGAATGTCATTACGATGTTACGTTTACTTTTGGAGAGATTCCTAATCAGCAAAATGTCAGAGCTCATAAATTATTTCTAGCACGAAATAGTGTCTTCGAAGACATGTTTTATGGCGGCCGTTCTCCTGAAGTAAGAAACGAAATCCAAATTACTGATGAAAGAGTCAATATACGCATCTTCCGAATCGTGGTAAAGTAAGAAAACAATGAGCATTCGTCCTTTATACATTTCGTGTGACCGTGTGTAAACGTGTCGTGATTCCACAAGAAGGGTCGGGGTTCAATTTTTTTACAAGAAACTCGGATTTATTATTAATATTAAAACGAAGATATTTCAAAACATATATTTATATAAATTATATTAATAATTAAATCAGTATTATTTGAATTTAATTTATAAATATTACTCAAATCGCGTGTCCATGGATAAATTATATTTTATAAAATTTAATAAGTTATTCTACAATAAATTTAATAAATCATTTCAGAAAACATATTAACAAATAGATTCATAGCTATTAAATTATTCGAGTGTTTTTCACATAAATAACGTGCTCTATTGCTCTATATTCTATAAATATTATACCGATAACCGGATGGGCGAGTAGTTAAGGCCTTGGACTACCGCTCTGGGATACCCCGGATCGAATCCGGATGGGTTTTCCGAATAAACCTACCAGTGGCCGAGTGGATAAAACCGCAAAACCCCGGAAGTTGATCGCAGGTTCTCGCCTGACCAATGCTTCTGAGTTTTTCGGGTTTTCTTCACTTGTCTAACACCTAAATAGGAGTCGGTTTTTCACTGAAAATCTTCCCCGGGAGGCACCTCTCCTTTGATAGATTACCTTTGTATTACGTTCCCTTATTTAATCAAAGCAATTGTCCGGATATGCCAATTCCCAGGTTTCATCATCCGGTGGCACCCATTATAAGTCTGACAGAACCCATGATGGGTAGGGAAAACGATCTTCTTATAGTGATCACAAAACAGGATGAATCGTACATAAAAATTAATGATATCAAATTCTTCTGTTCTAAAGATTTTGTATAAGTATTTAAAAATATTTAAATTAGCAATTGATAATTAACAGTTATTTTTTTAATTTTTAATTTTTATTTTTAGGTTCATTTATACGGATAAATTCGAATCGAATCGATTGAACGAATTGCTCCAGATATATTAGTTGCTTACAAATATAAAATTTATAAATTGATGACAACTTGTAGAAATCAGATTGTTCCAAAAATAGATGTAAACAACGTCTGCATAGTTTTCGAGCACAGTTTCGAATTCAACGACGAAGTCATTAAGAATTCTTGCAGAATTCTAATTTCTCAATACACCGTACTTCATTCTGAAAATTTTATACAAATATCTCTGGATACGGTTATAAATATATTGAAATTGAACGAGATGAATATTCCATCAGAATCTGTTTTGTTCGAATTTGCCATAAGATGGGCCAAAGAACATATTGCCAAAGCAAACTAGGACTCATCATCGTCAAAAGTTACAAGAGTGTGGATGAACCCTCTACTCTCTCACATAAGATTCCTTACAATGACTATAGAAGAGATCTTCTTCGGGCCAGAAACATCTGGAATATTCAGAGAAGGAGAAATAATGAAAATATCCAAGAACATAGCTAATTATGAAAGTGCCCCTTTACAGGATTGGTGCTGTACAAATAAATTACGCAGAAATTTCCCACCGAGTCCGCGTACATAATTTTTCAGCTTACTGGGATGAAATTAAATGTTTATAAATATGTAATTTTCTATATATTATATATTCGTCGATAAGACTAATATAGTGAATATGTTACTTAAAGAATTTTAAATACAAATACAGTCAAATTTCGATTTAGCGTCACTATTTGTTCTCTTGCGAAATATACCAATAATTTTTCAAATACGAATTATTATTATAACAAATATATTTATTCATGAGGTCTATATATGTTAGGCTCAAAGACCGAAATCGCTCATTGAGCGAAAAAAAAAAAAAGACCACAACGCGTTGTGGTCGTTTCAAAACGGCCACTAAGCGAAATTCGCGTCGTGGCTTTCATGATATTTGACCACTACGCGTTGTGGTGATTAAGGCTGCGTACACACTAGGGGTTTTAAAACGCGCGTTTGACGAACCAAGAGTTCTGCATAGGCGTACACACTCAAATGCGCGCTTTTGGCCAAGCGCGCGTTAAACGCGCGTTTATAGATTTTTCTTAAAACGCGCGTTTTGCGGGCGTCAGCCGAGCGCTTTGAGATATATGTGCTGCCATGTTACTGTACATTCGATCGCGCATTTTGCGGGCGTCAGCCGAGCGCTTTGAGATATATGTGCTGCCATGTTACTGTACATTCGATCGCGCGTTTTCGGGTAGAGTGGACGTACGTTGGCTGAAATGGAGAACGATCGTTTCGATACTGATCTATTTATCGATGAAATCTAAAAGAGACCAACCATTGTCAAAGGATTTTATAGATATTTTTAAAGAATTAAAAAACTTGGGTTTATTTTGTCTTAGTTTTGGATACAACGTCGCAAACATTCCATGTGTCAGTCTATCT